CAGGTATATTACTTTTTATTTAATATTTGAAACTCATTAACTCATGGCTCACAACTAATATATGACTTCTTTACTCAACAACACCAGCAAAAAATTGGGCAATGCCAATGCTGACAACTGTTTCAACAACTGTTTTAAATGAACATCAACGCAAAAACAACAACAACAACAAAACCACTCAAATTACCAAGTTGTAGAAAACATCCTGGCAAAAAGGTCAGTTTGTTCTAAAAAAAATAGATGAGTTATGGTCTCTTTGTTACAAAGGGAGCAGAATCAGATTCATGGAAACACTCAGCCTCCAGAGAGCAAGTCCTGTTTTCTCATTTCATTGCTACATCATACCAGAAGATGCTTTGGGGGTTGAATTTTGTATCACTATTCCTTAGTTTTCCCACAGCACATTTTGCCACAACCTAGTGTCTGCTGAGACCATAATTAGACCAGCATGTTTGCTGCAGGGCATCCTAATAAGGGTTTCACAGGCACAGTGAGCATCCACATGGGAGGCAGTCTATAAAACCAAGTCAGCAAAGAATCGTTACCAGATGAAGATCAAAATTGGTTGAATATCTTTAAGAACATTTTTTAATGTACATACAAAAGTTGTTATTTACTGTCATGTGCAGTTATAATTGAGTTATTTCTGCTATTTTTTGAAGGTAATTCATTTAACAAACGTCTAATGATCACTTCAAATGCTCTATTAAGGTACCTACCACATACATTTTATACAGTAAGACACACCACTTTTCTCCCTCAATGAGGATATCTTCTTGTGGGAGAAAAATAAGAAAAAAGATAACCATGCTTTTGTGTTGTAAGTACTACAACACTGGCATATAAAAATTTTTCCAGGTATACCGTGAGGAAAGCAATCCTGCCTGGGAAGCAAGGAAAGCTTCACCAAGAAAAGCATGTAGTGTTTAAAAGTAATTTGGAATTGGTAAAATGTTCAAGATGGGTAAGTAAATGATTTTGTTCTTTACTACTAGTTCTATACATCTCTATGTTTGAATTTTTCCTTAAGAATGTTTTTTAAAAAGTGACTTGAGGGGAGAAAAGCATTTCAGGAAAAAGGAACAGGAACTGAAGACAAAACAATGTGCCTGAAGAAAGAACTAGTTTTGAAACATAAACTATACTTACTTAAAGGAGTCAGGGGTGAGGGCTAGAAATTAATAAAGCTTGAGAAAAATCTGTCTTTATTTCTCTTGTAGCCATTTAACTTTAGATTACTTATGGTTGAAAAACTGATGAAACATTAGCCATGTATTAAATCTGTCTAAGACCTACAATAATTACAAATGCTCAAAATGTATTCTTGTAGTAAGCCTTAATCATGAAGGCTACCTTCATGAAGGATACATAGTTTCTGTGACTTCTAAACTCACCTTCCATAATCATGTTGGGTCAGAATCCACAGAATCCACTGAGTCAGAATCCACTGGTGGGTACGGATTTGGGTTGTTTTTGTTTTGTTTTGCATCACTCAATAAATATTCAAGTTTATTCTACATAAAGCACTGATGTTTTAAAATCATCTGGCTTCAAGTTTCAATAAATGATACAGAAAACAATTTTAGGAATGTCAGAATTTAAACTTAATCTCACTTTGAAACTTCATATTACAATCATGTATTAAACCAGGCATGCTTCTTTCAAATCTAAGAAGGCAAAAGGCTAACACATTAGTGCTGGTGCTTCCACTGCATATAATACCTGGCTCTGGCTTCTCTATCTTCTACTGGACTATTTAATATCATACAATTAATACTTTAGTATACAGTGTTGCAATGGCCTTAACAGTAAACCAGTGGAAGCAAATACCAGGAAGGAAAGACACTATCAGAAAGACTGATCCAGTGCCTGGGCCCAGCAAGGGCGGAGGGGAGCTGCACCCCAGGTTCTAAACAGCATAGAGGGATTCATAATCTCAGAAGCCTTGACTCTGACAATCTAAAGAGAACCATAAACAATCTCTCATGCAGTTTGAGAAGTACTGCTTCATTTGGAAAAGAAAACCCCAAAGCTAAGCCCACTGCCACTGAGTTGATTCTGACTCATAGTGACTCTTTAGGCTAAAGTATAACAGTGCCACAGGGTTTTCAAGGCTGTAAATCTTTAGGGAAGCAGATGGTCTCATCCTTCTCCTGTGGAATGGCTGATGAGTTCAAACTGCTCACCTTCTGATTGGCAGCTAAATGCTTTAACCACTGTACCACCAAAGAAAGCTGTATTTTGATAAAAAAAAAAAGTCACTGCCATCGACTCCTATATGACTCACAGAGACCCTTCCTTGGGTTTCCAAGGTGGTATCTCTAGAGAAGTCAAAATACCTCATCCATCCCCGTTTATTTCTGTCTTAGTAAAGAAGCTTCTGGTAACAAAATAACACTGTTTGGACAAGTCTTTTTTGTTTAGCGCTATTACACATTTTTTGTCTAGATGGTCTTGTATTCTAATAGTTATGTGTCCTCTCAACTTGGCAGATTATATTGCTACTATACTGAAGCTACACTTTTGAAAGTCACCAACAATATTCCAATCAACAAAACCAATGGCCTTTTTCTAATCTTTAATTTGATGTACTGATGACCTTCCCTGTGTTAGTGTACCACAAGTTTCATTTTTGTTCTTTGTGATACCAAAAAGAACTTCAGGATAGATGACATGTCCCACACAAGCAATAATATTTGAGTCTATTATATAGCAGACAAAAGGAATACAAAAGATGAAAGAAACATGGCCCTGGGATTTATTCTCCTTGTGTTATCTTCCAAAAAAAAACCTTTTAAATTTTAGATGACCCATAAATCTTTTAATTGATTCAAGACAGCTTAACTGATTTAAGCAGCTTACAATGTTTTACTATTCTGAAAAGTCTATATAAAATAAGAATGGCTTCTTTTTAAAACTGTAAAATTAAAGCATAAAAAAAGATGGTGGGAAACATTTCCTTATCAAGTTCTTCAAGCAGGGAATATATTTAACTTCCTCATTCTCTATTTCGCAAGAATAAATGTTCTTACTAAAGATTTCCTCCCTGCATTTTGAGTTTTTCTGCTTATAACCCACACCTTACATTGTTATTCCTTTCATCTTTATGAGCTGAACCCTTACTATCAAAGAATCTGCCTAGAAAAGACTGGAAAAAAATAGCCAAATGCATTTGGATGGAAGAAATAAGGATGGTAGTTATTTTTCTCTTGAGTAAGAAGAGTTAGAAATCCTTTTTTCTGTGGTTGGAGGAGTTCGAGAAGAAACACAGAAATGAAGTTTGTAGGTGAATGTCCCAGGGTGATGAACTCTATTTTCTCAGTTATCAATAGAGAAGGTCATCTCTGGGCTTGAGGAAGGCAGCTTTGTGTATGAAGTTTGAGACCATGACTATATGAATTATCACTTAGGGGGAAAGAGACAGAATTAGGGACAAAAAAGAAAAAAAGAAAAGAAACTGAAGATGCAACCCCCTTAACAAAACGCAGAAGAAAATAAAAGGAAATTAGAAATATAATGCATCTAACTGTCATTTATTGTTCAATGTCCAGTGTTACAGATGAGTTGAAATAGATACAGAACAAAAGGATACGTCTGAGGGAAAATGTGATATAATTAGACCACTAAGGTGTCATTTCTTAATACAGGGAAAATGAAACTAAACCAAAACAAGCAAATAAGCCTACATGAAGTTTTGTTTTTGTTTTTAATATACATTATTGAAGCAGGACTAAAACTGGGCAGTCGATACTGAGGGCAGGTGGTCCCCTAGGGTAGGCCACGAAACAGTAACTGCCTGACTGAAGATGATTCTCATCTGGTGTTTGTCCAAAAGGTTACTAATGATTGCAAGACACTGGGTGGGGAAATAACAAGAACCAGAAAAGAAATAAGAACGTGATAATGCGCTTCCATTTTTTGCAGTACATTGAAGTACCAAAAACTACAATAACACTAAAGGCCATTTCCCAGTGCTACTCCCCACCACCACCAAAATCATAAAGCTGTTAGGAAGACTGACCAGGTCGACAGTGTGTCAAATTTTTCAAAGCTTCAGCAACATCATAATCTAAACAGAATCACGTATTTGGAAGCCACAGACAGCTTCAACGTGTATGGATATTGGAGATGATTGTAAAAAATTAGAAAAATACTAGTAGTGAATCACCAATCAATAATATTCGTAACTTTGGTTACGACAGAGAATCACATAGATCCTAGCACCCAAAAAACGCTGACATACATATGCGACCAGAAGAAAGGCTCTCAATAAAGATATCTTAAAAAAGGAACGTGACCGATATGACCAGCATCTAATGCGCGGTGAGGAAGCTGCACCAGGACAAGGTTGATCAAATGTAAATAATGGAAAATGGTAACGCCTTCAAGTAAATGCAACACAGACCTTTCTGCCTATATCACAAACATCCGCTGGAACAAAACAAAGTTCCAGAACCACAAACAACTAGGTTAGAGCTTAATCTTTCGTTTTCTTTTCAGGCAAGACAAAGTCGAAACCAGGGGGCAGTATCAAAATCCGCTCCTAATTGTTTCTTTAAGAGGGGGAAAAAAAATGCAGGGTTTATTTTGGAGCAGAGGAGGAAAACTTTCAGATCACGGAAGTACAAAAGGAGCCGAAACCGGGTACTTCTCAGATCTCTTCACAAAAACCTAGGCACTCATCCCCACGCCTGCAACGCCTCAGGTCTCTCCCAACCCCAAGTTTTCCCTCCAATTCTTGATTAGGAACAATCTCCTCATTCCGACCCGTCCTCCAATCCGACAATTTCCTCCCTCAGGGTCCTTGGCCTCAGTCCACTATTACATTTTTCCGCCCCACCCAAAACTTCGGTTTTGTCTCCCACCATCACCTTCCAGCATTTCAGCCCCAGCAAACATTCGCCCCTTTCTCTATTCCGGACCCTGACACCCCCCAGCCCAACTTTCCGCACATGCGCACTACCTCATCGCCCTTAGCCTTTCACCCTGCCCTCCCTTACCATATACCAGGTCCCCAGGATGATCGTTCCGGTGCGGACATGGCAACAGCCGCAGCACCGGGTGCTGTAGAACCGGTCGCTGCGGCTCCGCTTGAAAGTCATGGACACCATCGGGAATCTGCCTCCTGGCTGGACCCCTGAAAAAGACTTTCTGCTCAGCGGTTCAACCCAGATAGTTTTTTCACCGTCTTCAAGCTCAAACGACCGGTCTACGCGCCCGCCCCCTGCCGGGTCCCAACTAGCTTTTTCGCGCTTGCGCAGTAAGTACCGAACGCCGCTATCGCGCGACGACCGCCTACAATCTTCTGCACAAAGGCCAATAGCAGAGCGATTTAAGAAGGAAGTTAGGTTGACTCGGTCCCTGATTGGAAATAATTGAAGATTGACAAGAACTCAGGCCCAATCAGATGTTTAGCTCGCTTCGTGGTTAATCGACCCCGCCTGTTGCGAGAGGGTAAGGGCCATATCGTTGCTCAAGGTTTGTTCGGGTTGGGTGTAGCCTAGTAATTCACCATCCCGGAGATGAGAACGGCAAGAAAAGAGGCATGTAAAGGATGAAGATGTGGGCGGCAAAAAGAGGGCACGAAGAGTTTTCTTAAGTGACGTTTGCCACGTAATGTTTCGGAGTCGTCACGGAACTGCGGCTGTTCACGTGACACTAGTGCGCAGCTCAATTATTGGGCTGACCCAGGGCGATGCCTTTGGGGGAAGGGACGGGGCTGATTCCCACTTAGGCCCTCCCCTGGCCTGTGTGGCGGAAATTGGGAACAGGTAGCGTAGTGCCTAGGAGCTCTGGTACCATAGTGCCTAAGGCACTTGATTGCTAACCACGGGACTGAAGGTTCAAACCCACCAGCAACAGACTCCTCGGAAGGCAAGTTGGGGAATCTACTTCCGTAGTGATGTTGTTGTTGTTGTTTGCCGTCGAGTACTCGATGGCACATAACAACAACAACAATCACTACGGAAGTAGGATTGCCCAACCTTCCTTCCGAGGAGTGACTGGTGGGTTTGAACCGCCAGCCTTCTGGTGAGCAGTCAAGTGCCTTAGGCACTATGCTACCAGAGCTCCGTAGTGATACTGCCTTGGAAACCTAAGGAAGGCTCGCTATTAGTAGGGTGGGACTTGACGGCACATAACAACAACAACACAGCGTAGTGCCTAAGGCGTTTGACTGCTATCTGGAAGGCTGGCGGTTCAAACTCAGCAGACACTCCTCGAAAGGATGATTGGGCAATCTACTTCCATCTACTTCCCTAGCGGTGCTGCCTCGGAAACCGAAGGAGAGGTCGCTATGAGTCGGACCCCAACTCGGCGGCAGTGAGGTTTTTTTTTTTTTTCAACCAAGAGAATCAAACTCAATGTCATCGAGTCGATTCCGACTCATAGCGACCCCCTTTGGGTATCGGAGTCGGTAAACCTTTACGAAAGTAGATTGCCCAAGTCTTCCTTCCCTGGAGTAAGTGGTGGGTTTGAACCACCATTCTGGTTAGCAGTCAAATGCCTTAGGCACGGTGTCACCAGAGCTCCTTAGCGTGCTACCCTCCTTCGTTCTGAAGCTTATATGGTAGCAACAGCCAAAAGCCAAGAGGAAAAGTAAAAGCAATATAAAGCAACATAATTGCTTAGCTGCTAGGTATTAACAGGTAATCAATAGTGACTTTTTCGAGGGGGGGGGTAGGCGGGGCTTGGGGTAAGTTTTGAAGCGGACCAAGATTGCTAAGGGTTTTGGATTAAAAAGCAAAACATAACTCTGGCATATCCTTCGCGATTAGCTGAGTCTTTGGGACTTTCTGCCTTTGTCTTTGGAGCTATGTACATTTCTAGAGAACTGATACCAAGGCAATAGACTGTCCATAGATAATGTTGCTCTTGTTGTTGTTGTTATGTGCCGTCGAGTCGGCCCCGACTCATAGCGACCCCTCCTTGGGTTTCCGAGGCAGTATCACTACGGAAGTAGGATTTCCCAACCTTCCTTCCGAGGAGTGGCTGGTGGGTTTGAACCGCCAGCCTTCTGGTTAGCAGTCAAGTGCTTTAGCCACTATGCTACCAGAGCTCCTAATGTTGCTCTTAGTTGCCCTCAAGTCACCCTTCCCAGTCATGTCCACCCCATGTGTGACATTGGCCCACAGGGTTTTCTTGGCTTTCTTTACGAAAGTGCATCGCTTGTCTTATGTGGAACGAAAGTGCATCGCTTGTCTTATGTGGAACCGTTGGGTGGGGTGAAACCACCAACTTTTGAGTTTTCAGCCTAGGACAAAGCACTTGCACCACCTGTTGATAAACATGCAAATTAAACGCCCTCCTCTACCCACAGAAAAGCCATTTTGTATCTCTTTGTAAATTAATTTTACCTTTTATTTTTAGTACATTAGTTTCTTGAACTAATTACAGATTTTAAAAGGGTGATGAAAAATTGTCCAATTTATGTTTAAAATTTATTGTATAAAATGCATTGGTAAACTGGAGAATTAGAAAATAATTCCAACATACATCAAGTGAGAAGTTTCCATAGTCTGAACGTGTGTGTAAGCATGTTTCTGCTTGCTGATCTCAAACCAAATCAAACCCACCTCATCCAGGCAGTTGTGGATCACAGGGACCCAAAGGACAAAGTAGAACTACCCTTTAAGATTTCCAAGGCTACAAATCTTTTGGGAAGCAGACTGCCTCATCTTTCTCCAGCCCAGCAGCTGGTGGGTTTGAAGTGCAACCTTTTCTTTAACAGCTGCATGATGTAGATTAGAAGGAGAAAATGATTATAGTGTTTTGTATGGGTAATTTTTATCTTCTATTTCACAGACTAATTTTTTTTAGAATACTTTAAACTATTATTAGTAAACAATCTGTCCTTTTTGAGTGGAACTGTAGGGATGGATTTCTAGGAGGGAATAACTTTAACAAAATGTACAACGAAACAAATTAGGGAAAGCTACAGAAGAAAGATGGATATGTGACAACATTGAAGGTGCAAGCCAAGGAATGCCAATGACTGTTATCTGTCACCAGAAGATAGGACTTCAAAAGGAATCAACACAGTTGATACCTGAATTTGGACTTGAAGCCTCCAGACCCAAGTCAGTAGATCAGCACAAAGAAGCAATGAAGCCTATGGAAGGAGAAGGGGTGAACAGTGGAAGCTTGATATCAGGAGTACAGTTGTACATGTAGTCTAGGTCCTATAACATGGTGGCCTTCTCCATCAAGAATAAGGTCAACAGCAACAACAAAAATGACTAAGTTCAGCAAACAAAAATCAGTTGGATTTATGTGCACCAGGAATGAGAAATCTCAAAGAGAAATTCAGGAAGCAATTCCATTTATAACAGCATTTCAGAGACCTAGGAATAAAGTTAGCCAGGAATTTGAAGGACTAACACAATGAAAATTGTACAATACAATACTGAAGAAGATTTACATATATGGAGAAATATTCCACATTTGTGGATTGGAAGACTTAATATTGTTAAGGTGTCAATACTACCCAAAGTGATCTATAGATTCAATGCAATCCCAATAAAAATCACAATAGCTTTCTTCACAGATAATGGAAAAGCCACCCTTCAACTTTACATGGAATGGCTAGAGGCCTCAAATAGCCAAAGCAATGTAAAGTAGAAGGCTTTATATCACATTTCCTGATTTTATAACATGTCATACAACAGTAATCAAAAGAGTCTGGTACTACCATAACAATGGACACATAGATAAATGCGATAGAATTGAGAGTCCAGAAATAAACCCACACATCTATAACTCACTGCCATCAAGTCAATTCTGACTCAAAGTGACCCCCATAGGGTTTCCAAGGCTGCAAATCTTTATGGAAGTAGATTGCTCTGTCTTCCTCCCACAGAGCAGCTGGTGTGTTTCAATGACTGACCAGGTTAGCAGCCAAATGCTTTACCCACTGCACCACTAGAGCACCTATCCATAGTCAACTGATATTTCGCAACAGTGGTAAGCCCATTTGATGCTGAAGAAGCAACTCTTAAATAAATGGTGTTGAGAAAATTGGATTTTCACCTGCAGAAAAATGAACACATCCATGTCTCACACCATACACAAAAACAAATTCAATGTGTACTAAGAGTTTAAACATGCAAAATAAAACTTAAAATTTTTAGAAGAAAATGCAAAAGCTTAGCTACTGGGTCTTGTTTTGAGTAATGGATCATCTAATACAAATACACAAACACCAAAAGACTAAATGAGACAATAAAAATTAACAACTTTTGCTTATCAAAAGCTTTTACCAAAAAAGTAAAAAGAAAAGCTACCAACTGGGGGAATATCTTCAGAAATCATATATCCAATAAAGATCTAATATATAAAACTTGGACAACTTAGCAACAAAAAGACAAATACACAATCATGAAGTGGGCAAAGTGTATGAATAGACATTTCACCAAAAAGGACATTCAAATGGCCACCAAACACATGAAAGGATGCTCAACATCATTAGCCTTCTGAGAGATGCAAATCAAAACAGATGCCATTTCACATTTCACTCTCACTTGGATGGCCAAGATAAATATATAAATATAAATATAAACATTATGTGTGTGTGTGTGTGTGTGTGTATACATATATATATATAAACAAGTCTTGGTGAGCATGTGGGAAATTGGAACCATTTTTTATTGCAAATGGGAGTGCAAAATGGTACGATCATTGCAGAAATCAATGTGGTGGTTCCTCAAAAACCTAATAGAATTAGCATGTTGTTGTTGTTATGTGCCGTCAAGTCGGACCCAACTCATAGTGACCCCTCCTTGGGTTTACGAGGCAGTATCTCTACGGAAGTAGATAGCCCCATCTTCCTTCCTAGGAGTGGCTGGTGGGTTTGAACCGCCAGCCTTCTGGTTAG